CCCAAGACGTACCTTGGTACCTGGTGCCCAGAGGTATCAAGGCTCCGGACCTGGGCCTCCCCGAGACCCACGGGGCACCCTCTCCCCTCTCTCCAGGATGGCTGAGGTGAGCGAGGGTGGCAGAGGGTGGGCCCGGAGGAGAAAGGGCAAGCCAACTTGCGGCCCACGGTGAGCGCCGGGGAGGTGGACCCCGAGACCGGGACAGGACTGCGGAGGGACCAGTGTGCGCGCGCGGGGGCGCCTATGCACACGCGTGTGCAGTGCGTGAGGGAGTGTGTGCGCGGCAGCGGGGAGGGTCACCGTGTATGGGGTGAATGTGTGCAGGTGTGCATGTGTGTGAGTGGAAGGCTTTCCGGAGGCGCCCCTGCGCGCTGGGACCCAGATGGTCAGGGCTCTGGCGGGGAGCAGGGACAGCGCTCTCTCTGTTCTGAAGGCACTCGCATCCCTCTGGGACAACTGGGCCCTCCCCGAGACCTGCACTGGCAGCCCCTCCCCCCAGGGCAGCACCCTCCCGCCTGCTGTGTGCTTTCCGGGGCAGCGCCTGTCCTCCCCTATCCTGGGAGCCAGGAGGACACTGGGACGCAGGGACGGCTCCCTAAGAGATCTGAACCCAGGGGTTTACACTCAGCTGAGGCCACAGGTCCTGGGGTCTCCCTGCGAAGCCCCTTCCTGCAGGGGGAGGGCCTTGTGCCTCTGTCGCCTGCAGCTGCGCGGAGGCAAAGGCCTGGAATCAAAGTTCCAATGGGAAGCTCTTCCCCTCTCTGGCCTTACTTTTCCAACAACTGTAAATGGGCAGTGGGTGGGAAGAGGGGCTCTCCCGGTGCCCTGCGGCCCCAGGGTCCTCGGAGTGACACCATGTCCCCGGACATGAATGTCCACCTCGGGGCCCAGATTCCAGGGTAGCGCACGCTCGCATTCTGTGCTGTGTTGTGGGTCTGTTTGTGGTGCACACTGATGGGGCTCTTGGGTGGTATCAGGGTTATGGCCGTTCTGTGGTGACAAGTGAAGTCTGGAGTCCAGTGCAGTTGTGGGCGGGGCAGCCCCATGCAACCTGGCTGACCCTAGGAGCACCCGCTATCTTTGGCGTGTCCATCAGGCCAAGTCATCACCTCTGTTTACAACCCCCCGTGGCCCCCACCACTCCTAGGACATAGCCCGAGGCCTACAGGGATCTGCGGTCTGGCCCCGCTCCCTCTGAAGCCCTGGTCCTGCCATTCACCTCTTTTCCAGCTCCTGTCTACGCCTCACACCTGCCACAGGGCCTTTGCATGGCTGGTCCCATACTGAGACCCTCCTCATCGTCACCACCACCACCGCTCTTCTCCCAGCTTAGCTGCCACTTCCCCGTGGAGGGCTCTCGGGGAGCCCCACCTCTGGGCTCCTGCAGGCTGCTGTCTTCCACCCCCAGGGTCCATTCACTGAGCCGAGCAGGGTCTCCTTCCTCCCGTATTCCCACCAGCCTTCACGCCGGGTGGGGGGCATGCCCTCTGCCTCGTCCGGGCTGCACCACTAGTGCGAGTGTGTACACGTGGGCACCCACATGTTTAGTATGTGTGTGCGCGCAAGCTGTGCACAAGGGTATCCGGGCCGTGTGTGTTTACACAGAAATCACAGCTCTGACCCATGGCGCAGCTGCAGCCATGGAGGCTGGAGGCCAGAGGGTTCCAGAGGGCAATGGGATAGCGTGGGTTTGCTGGCTCGGATAGAGGTAACAAAACCCTCCAGGTTTGAGGTTTGGGGGGCGGGGTTAGAGCTTTACTCCCAGGGGTCCACCTCTTGCACACAGCCAGTTACAGGACCTGCCACGGGTAAAATGTGGTGCGGTTAAATACTGCCATCCAGGGCGCACATTCACACAGACCTGCTCCGCGCCACACACATATGTGGCAGTTTGCGTGCCTGCCCACACATGCCGCCAGCCTGCCGGCCAGACACACACGTGCACGCGTAGCACACATGTACACAAACATGCTCCTCACGCCCGTGCACAGGGCACGGAGGTCCGGGGGCCAGGCGAGCGTGGAGAGACACAGGTCACAGCGCTCCCGCCCAGACGCTGGAGTGGAGGGACCAGCGGCACCGGCGAGAGGGCGGGGGCGGCCAGGGCTGCCCAGGATGGGGCGGGCGCCTGGGCCACGGAAGAGACGGAAGGGGCGGGCAGGCGGCCGGCGGCGCGGGCGCCCTCTCTCGGCCGAACGCGACAGCGCGCCGCCCTCCGCCACCGCCACCGCAGCCCCGCGCCCGCCGCCCCTGCCTGAGCTGGAGGCGTCCCCAGGGGGCGGGCTTGGGCCCCAGGACTCGTTCCGGAGGCGGGGCCGGACCGGGCGGGCCGGCCAGGGGGCGAGGACTCTACGGGAGGTTGCTCGCGCCCCGCTGCTCGTCTGGCTTTGCCGGGTCCGCCTCGTGCCCGTCCCCGAGGCCGCGCGTCCGCAGGCGCCCAGCTGCCTCCGGACCCGGCCGGTCGGGACGCCGCAGACCCAGCACGCTGCGGGCCCAGCACGCTGGACATCGGGACGAGCGCCGAGGGCCTGAGCCGAAGGGCTCCGAGACCCCCACCCTCGCCCCCATTTCACGGACGCGGCCACAGAGGTCCGAGAGGGGCCGGAGCCTGCGGACTAGGGAGGGCTCGACAACTTGGCTGCGTCCCCTCCCGGCCCAGGGTCTGCAGGAGACCGGCGTTATGCCGAGGGCGACGAATCGTCTTTTCCGCCCCCGCGTGGGAGGGTGGCGGGGACAAGCGCCCTTCTCCGGGATCGGAGGCGGCAAACTCCCTGCTCGAGCCTCCGCGCCGCGCCCGCCCGCGGAGCCGCGCGCCGCCCTGGCGCATTCCCGCCGGCCTCGCGCTCGGCCCCCCGCCGCCCGGGCTCCGGTGATCCCAGGCCGGCCCCGCCCCCGCCCCCCGCATCCAGGAGCAACAAGTCTGAAAGCAGCGCCGAGCGCCAGCAAGCTAGCCGGGAGGAAGGGCGCCGGGCCGGGCGCGGGGCGCTCCGGGATCCCGGAACGCGCGCAGCGTCCGCCTCCGGGGACCGGGCGCGGGCAGCGGGCTCTCGGGGCTGACTCGGTGGGCGGCCCACACCCCCTCCCAAGGCCCCGACTCTGCACGGGCGGGGGCGCGCCCAGGAGCCCCCGCCCCCTCCTTCGCCTGCTTGACCTTGCTCGGGTACTCAAAGCAGGACCCGGCGGCACTCGGGCGTCCGGACGCAGAGTTTCGCTGCCGCCTGCGGTGGTGAGGGAGCGGCTCTCTCCCTCGACCTCCCTCGCTGCCTCCGCGGGGGCGGGGGTCGCCAAGAAATGGAAGGCTTCGGGTTCTAGGAGACGGTCTGGCCGCCTCCTCAGACCCCAGATACACCGTATGCCACCTCCGGATGTGAAAAGGGACCCCAGCCTCCCGTTTGCCCTCTCCACCCCGCCCGCGCGGCCGCTGCTCGTAGGGGGCGTGTGTCTGTGTAGTGGCGGAAGGCACTGGGGGTCCCCGTAGGTCCCGAGGTGGGTTGGGAGCGCAGACCTCCCGGCTCCCTCCCCAACACGTTTGCCAATCCGCTCCTCTGGGGCGTGGGTGCGCGCCCCCTGCCCACCCACACACCTGCACACCTTTCAACTCCTCGGTAGTTGCCGCTAAGGAATCCTCGAACCAGACCCAGGGGAAGGGGACGTATTGGGGAGCGCGCGGAGGGAAAGGGTGCTGAAGGAGGGGCGGGTTAGGACTCGTCCGGTCCCATCCTGCCTCCCTGCGCTCCAAGAAACTTGGAAGCCGAAAATAAAAGTGGGGAGGGTAAGGTGCCCAGCGGGCCGGGGTTTGGGTGCCTGAACGGGCGCTCTCTCTAGGCTGCTTGGGAAGTGACCCCAGCAGGAGCCGCCGCGGCCCGGCAGAGGTACTGGGGCTGGGAACCGCATCCTCTGACGAGCCTTCCTGGCCACCTTGCTTCGCGGCGATTTTCAGCTCCGCCGCCCCCTCCCGAGGCAGGCCCGAGACGCGTTCTGCCCTGCCCAGGGGGCCGCGGAGACTAGTGGGAGAGGGCACCCGGCCGGGCCCAGAGTCCCAGCCTGCCCGGGAGGGGGCGGGGGCCAGGCTCATTCCTCGAGGCAGCTCCGCGCGGCTCCAAGCGAGCGCGGCGGCCGCGGAGGGCCGGCGGCCTCCGCCCGCTGGGAATGGGGACCGAGGAGTGCCCGGCGCCTGGCCTCCCCGCTTCCCGCGGAGAGGGCACAGGGCCGACCCAAAGTTCGGAGCGGCTTATCCGCGCGGCCTGTGCGAGCGAGCGGAAAAGAAGCCGAGAACGGAACGAGTCAGGGCTTTCGTGTGTGTGGAGGGGGGCGGACGGGCGCTAGGGTAGCCCTCCGCCCGATCTGGGGATAAGAGAACCTCCGGGGAGTGTCCACCGCCAGTGCCGGGTCTACCGTGAGGCTTCGAGGGAGGCACTGTGCGTGGGGGAGGACATCTCGGGCCCCTACAATGTCTGTAGGGGCTCTGGCTATGATGAGGGGAAGGGGGACACACTGGGGTGTCCCTCCTGAACCTACCTGGGTCTGCGTGTGGCTGTGGGGACATCTGGGGCTCCCTGAGGCCCCTGCCAGCGTCCGTATGTGGTGAGGACACAACGGGAACGCCTTCCCCAGCCTGCCCTGGGTCTGTGCCTGTGATGGGGAGGGGGTGTCTTCCCCAGCCTGGCCTGCCACCCCGGCCAGGCTGCGTGTGTGTGGACTGGGGGCAGGTGAGCAGCGCCGAGGAGCCTCTCCCACGTCCAGGTCGCCCCCTCCTCAGCCTCCCAGTGCGGGCGCGCGGAGACCTGCCAGATTCCGTCGCGGCCGCTGGAGGAGGCAGGGGGCGGGGGGAGGGGGGTCCAAACTCCCGTGCTCCGAGCGCAAACCTCGGAGCTGCGAAGCTCCAAACGGCGAAGTTAAGAAGTCCGGGCGTCCGCCCCTCCCCCGGCCCCCTCCCACCCTCGCTGCACCCCGTCTCGCCGCGCCCCCAGCCCCCAGCCGCCCGCCGGAGCCTTCCTTACCTTCCCGGCAGCAGCGGCCCCGCTGGCGAAGACTTGATCCGGCGAGTTGCAAATACCCAGGAGCGCCGCGCGTCGCCGGCGGCCGAGCCGGGCGTCCGGGCGGACGGGGGGGGGGTCCTCCTGCCTCCGTCGCCCCCGGCCCGCTCCAGGCCTAGCAGCGACGTCCCCGGGAGCGCACCCGCCGTCGCGCGCAGGCCCCCTCCCCTCCCCCCGCCTGCCGGCGCCCCCCGGGCGCCGGGGAGGTCCGGATGCCCGGGCTGCAGGCGATGCGGAGCGCGCGGGCCCGGGCCCGGCCAGGACGCGGCGCGGCCGCCTGTGCTCCCGGCTCGCCGGCTCCACGCTCGCTCCGCCGGGGCCGCCGCCAACGCCGCGCCCGCCGCCGCCTGCGCCCGCCGCTCCCTCTCCGGCCGCCGCCGCCGCTCCGCTCCTCTCGCCTGCCCCGCTCCTCTCGCCTTTTTTCCCCTTCCTGAGGGGGGGGGGCGAGCCGAGCCGAGCCGAGCCGGGGGCGGGGCGGCGCGGGGAGGAGGAGGAGGAGGCCGAGGATGGGGAGAAGGAGGAGGAGAGAGGCGAGCTGCTTCCCCCCACCGGGCTGCCGGCGCTCCCCAATCTCTCCCTCTCTGAAACTGGATCCCGAATCGGGAGCCAGAGACTGCATTACGGATTACATCAGGCTTTATAGAGCTTCCAGATCACACATTAGAGGGGAGCGCGAGCGGGGGGCGGGGTGTGGGGGAGGGGAGAGAGATAACGGGGTTGGGGGCACGGGTAAAACGCACACAAGCGCGCACACCGAGGAAAGCCCAGCTCCTGCCCCATGCAGCAGGAAAACCAAGAGTTGGGTCTCAGCCCTCTGCCTCTTCCAGGAGCCGAGGAGTGGCTGCCGCTGGCCGGCTGGATAAATGGATGGGTGGATAGGTGGACAGGGGGATGCATGGATAGACAGAGGGCAGATGGATGGCGGGAAGGAAGTTATATGGGGTTGTGCGTGAACAATGCACAAAGGTCCATGAGAGGATGGGACGTGTGGAAGGGTGGATGAGGTAAGTGGGTGTAGATTGAGGAGGTGCTCCGGCGGCTGGGTGGATGGACAGATGCCTAGAGAGGTGGGTGGGACGGTAGATGGAAGGGTGGAGGGGGGGGAGGGATGGAGGAAAGAGGCGGCTGAGGGTGGGCAGGGTAGGTGGGTGCATAAGTGGATGGATGGCACGTGAGTGGAGGGCTGAAGAGATGGGGTGGGCCGTGCAGTTGCAAGGGTGATGCATGGATAGGCGGATGAGAGGGGGTGGGCGGGTTGGATGGAAGATGGAACGAGTGATGGGCAAGAGACAGAGTCAGAGGCACAGACTCTGGACCCCATCCAAGAGGGTCAGAGGTTGGCGGACGTGGGAAGGGCCAGTTTGAACTGCCCAGGTTGGATTTGTCGAGTCCCCTCAGGGGTACTCTGTTCTGAGAGATGCTGAGGGAGGGGCTTGGGAGAAGAGCCAAGGGTTTGAAAGTGAGGTCCAGACCACCATTTACCCTGTGGAGCTGTCCTCAGCCATTCCGTCCACATTCACATCCTCCACGCATCCTCCTTTGACTTGGTGACAGTGAGGACATCCCAGTCGCATATGTAGATTTTGTTTTCCATAAGCTGATGGAGATGGCCCCTTTAGCTGCTTCACCTCCCATCTTAAGGTGACAACAGTCCCTCTTCTTCTGAGACCTTTGGCCAGATACCCATAGGGGGCCTCCCTAGAATGAAATACAGAATCTTGGAGGAATGACCTCAGGGAAATTACTTCAGGGTCCTTCTCTACCAGGATGTTTATGCCTCCCAGCCCCTTGCTTCTTTTTCATAACTTGTGGTCCACTCTGAATGCAAAATCTTCTTTGGGTCCGCCTGAATATCCAATACTATACACATTTATCATCCTAGCTGTCCACTAATGCCTTTGCTGCCCAAGCCCAGCATCTGGTCCAACTGTCTGCTTTCCTCAGCTTCTTCCCAGGAGGCTCCATCAGGGTGTCGTCACTGTCACCATCAAACATTAATTCGCAATCATTGTCACCATTCTCAACCTGAATGTCAGCAGCCACTCCCACACTGTTCTCTCCATGACCATTGCCATGACCCCCAAACAGTGCCACTACATCACCACCACAGTCAGCACCATCTCTGGTCACTGCACGTTGCTCCCCTCATCAGGTGGAGCTCCGTCCAAACCAGTCCCTCTCGAAAGGCCAGCCTGTGGCCTAAGCCTCTAGGGGTGTCCTGAGGGGCTGGTCGGAAGAGCTAGGGAGACACAGATCCCAAGGCAATTGGGAGGGCAGGGGAGGCCCCTTTCCCAGTCAACCTCCAGGCCAGCCTTATTCCTCCCCCTCCCTCCCGGGGAAAGGACCTTCTTCCCAAAGTCTTTGAACTGGGGGAAGAGATGGAGGTGGTGCCCCCGGCGGGGTGGGGGTGAGGCGCTGCCCCATCTGCGCCTCCCACCCTTCCTAGCCCAGATCCTCTCTGCCCGCTGCCCTTGCTTCCATCTCCTCCCTGCACTAGCAGCTCGTGGCCACCAGGGGTCCTCTGGTATTAGGCCACAAGGCCCCGCCAAGGGTGCCGGTAGCTCTGGGTCAGGATTTCAGCTGCCGCTTTGCCACCGACCTTTCTCCTGTGGATGGGGGAGGATAGCAGCCATACCACTCCTCTGCTTTGGGACCCCCGCCTGGGGTTCCCAGGGCAAGGCTGGGACCCCCTCCACCCAGGCCATCCAGCACAAGGTGGTGTCCCCTCAGACGGGGCTTCTCAGCAGGGCCATGTCTCCCCCTCCCTGCTCCGGGACTCCTTGCCTCCCTCCATTACTTGCCCCTTTTAGAAAAGTGTCCCCTTGCCCCAGTTCCTGATCCAGACCCCAGACAGTTCCCCCTCCTAGAAGCAGAGGTGCCTAACTGCCCCCATGCTCCTCCTTGAGGAGGGAGCAAAGTCAGCATGGCCCCTGAAATTCCAGGGCAGGGCTTCTATCCACTGCCCCAGGCCCACACCCAGCTGAGTGCCCTGAAATGAACAGAGTCACACCGGCCCCGCTGCAACCTCAGTGTCCCGATGGGTACGTGAGTACCGGGACGGAAGGGTTCTGAAGGTTTCTTGCAGCCCAGACACCCCAGGATTCTAGAACTCTAAGCCAATGGCCACTCTTCCAGAGATTTGCTACCAGTTTACATCCAGCACCCTCCACCAAAGCTTGTGCAAACCCTTGACCGTCTCACAGCCACCTGAGGGCGGGGCCACAGTTTGAAGAAACCCAGAGTGGGCTTAGCACAGGAGGTTGAAACTGACGATCCCCTGCCAGGTCAACCCTATCCAGGTTCTAGAACTTCTTCACCCAGCCGCAGAGAGCGCATGACATTAAAAGCCCTCTTCATGGCCATAAACCAATCCCTGACCACAGCCACTGACTCACTGATCACTGACCCTGGTCACACATTGACCCTGACCGTGGTCACACCCTGAGCCCCGGCTCTGGTCCCATGCTGAGCTCTGACCCTGGTCCCACGCTGAGCCCCGACCCTGGTCCCATGCTGAGCCCCTACCCTGGTCCCACGCTGAGCCCTGTCCTTATGGCAGTCTTACCCATCCAGTTCTTTATTCCCAGGCCTGAGTGTACACGCTAAGGCATCCCTGAGGGATGAGAAACAGGAACTTTGTGGGGGGGCTGGGAGGACCCCCAGTGGAGCAGCAGGAAGCATACCTCGAGGCCCTGTCCATTTCCAAGCATTTTCATATAGGACAGTCCTCTCCTCAGGGGAGAAGGGGGGATCTACCTGCGGTCGCGTGCGGAGCAGGGTGGTCTAGAACCAAGCTCTCTGACTCCTGGCTCCTGGGACAGAGGTGGAGCGAGAGCCCTTAGCATCTGGCAACCCTCCTCGGGCCTTCAGAGGCCACCTGGGGGCTGGGCAGTAGGGGATTCCCAGCCTGGGGACATTCGTGGTCCTCTCCAACCACTCCGTGAACTTTGCCAGCCAGAGTTGGGGTGGGGGGCGCTGAGCATGGTGAGTAATTAGCTGATTCACATGCACATCATTAGTTGTGGATGCAACATGCCCTGATTAGCCTCCCAGCCAGGACACGAAGGACTTGCACTGCCACTCAGCAGAAGCGAGGCCCCGCCCTGTGGTAGCTCTGCCTTCTGGGTCCCCCCTCCTTCCCAACCCCACTCAGCCCTGGTCCCTTCAGGCTGTGCAACTGTGAGGGGAGGAAAAAGAGGAGGGATGCTTGGGGAGGAAGGACAGCAAGGCCAGGGGCTCCCAGCTCCTCCGGTTAACCACGGGTTCTAAAGGGTGAAGCTCAGAAGGGCCCCTCCTCCGGGAAGTCCTCCATCCTCCCCGGTGATCTCCTCATTGGCAGGCATGGCCCCTCGCTGTATCCCGGGAACACACCAGACACATCTCAGCCCATCCACAAAGTCAGACAGTCCGAGACCCTCCCTGGGCCCAGTGACAGTGACGGGACCCTCCACAAGGGGCTCTGCACGCCAGGGCCAGCCCAGAGCTGGGTGACTGGGCCAGCACACGGTGGGTCTTGGGCAGATGTGCAGCAGCTTCCATTCCGTGAAGTCCACAGTCCTGCGTGGACCATCACCCTTCACCAGCCCAGGCCAGGTCTGGACACACAGCAGCGACCCAACTGTGGTCTGTGTTCTAGCAGACTAGGTTCAGGGCCAGCGTCAGGGTGAGTTACCAGGAGGTGGGCAGTGAGAGGGCCCAGGGAGGCCGATCTCCCCTCCCACCCTCCCCTTGCCCCTCTCCCCAGGCTGCCCGCCTCTGGGCCGGGGGCGGGAGTGGCAAAGAGCAGAGAAGGCCAGTCTCCAAAGATGGCCCTACAGAGCTGTCCAATAGAATGGATGGTGGCCACGTTCTGTTTTGCACCATCCAACACATCCACCACTGGCCATGTGTGGCTCCCGAGCCCTTGAAGTGTGGCTTGTGTGCCTGAGGAACTGAATTTGTAATTTTACGTACTTTAGACTAATTTCACTTTAAACAGCCACATGTGGCTTGTGGCTGCCCCATTGCGGCTGTGGCCGGCCATCCCCGCCGGGGTCTGGCACCCAGGAGTCCTGAGGCTCCCTTGGGAGGACGAGCACGCGACCTGCGGCTCCAGGCTTGGCCGCAGAGCTGGTGAGCCGCCCAGCACCTCTCCCCTCCACACATCGGGGCTCCAGGTGAGAGTGCGGTGTCCTCAGGGCGTGTTGGTGCAGTGGCTGCAGCCAGACCGGAGGCTGGGTTGTGTCCTGACTGCTCCACTTTCTAGCTGTGTGACCTCAGGCAACTTACCCATTCTGTGCCTGCTTCATCTGTAATGGGGACAATAATAGTACCACCTATG